CGAGCCTACGAGAGGGTATTATGACGTACCAATTGCGACCCTTGATTTTGCATCTCTGTATCCTAGTATTATCCAGGCTCATAACCTGTGTTACACCACCTTATTGAACAAGGCCAGCGTTGACAAACTCGGCTTGAAGAAAGACGAAGACTATATTGTTACCCCGAATGGCGATATGTTCTGCACAGCAAAGCAACGGAAAGGTCTTCTGACTCAAATTCTTGACGAATTGCTTACGGCAAGAAAGCAAGCCAAGAGGGAGCTGGCTGTTGAGACGGACCCTTTTAAAAAGGCTGTGCTAAACGGTAGACAGTTGGCGCTGAAGATTAGCGCCAACTCCGTCTATGGGCTGACTGGTGCCACTGTTGGAAAGTTGCCCTGCTTAGAGATTGCAGGTAGCACGACCAGTTACGGACGTCAAATGATTGAGAAGACAAAGGCCGAGGTGGAGGCAAAATACACAATCGCGAATGGCTATGCACACGACGCACAAGTCATCTATGGTGATACTGACTCAGTCATGGTGAAGTTTGGGACAAAAGACTTGGCCGAGTCGATGAAGCTTGGTGAAGAAGCTGCACAATACGTATCATCGAAGTTTATCAAGCCTATCAAGTTGGAGTTCGAAAAGGTCTACTTTCCGTACCTTCTCATCAACAAGAAGAGGTATGCTGGACTGTACTGGACGAACCCGGACAAATATGATAAGATGGACACGAAAGGTATCGAAACCGTCAGGAGAGACAACTGTCGGTTAGTGCAAACCACTATCGAGACCGTACTTCGCATGATTCTCATCGACCAAGATGTCCAGGGCGCCCAAGAGTATGTTCAACATTCCCATGTAATCAGAACTCACTAACAGCCATCCAGCTATGTCAAAGACACTATTTCAGACCTGCTTCAGAATAAAGTCGACATGGCCAAGCTTGTCATCACCAAGGCCCTTGCCAAGGCCGACTACGCCAACAAGCAAGCGCACGTCGAGCTGGCCGAGCGCATGAGGAAGCGCGACGCCGGGTCAGCCCCAACTCTAGGCGATCGAGTGGCATATGTCATCATCAAGGGCGCAGCAGGCGCCAAGAACTTTGAGCGCTCCGAGGACCCGCTTTACGTGCTCGAGCACAATGTCCCCATTGACACGAAGTACTACCTAGACAACCAGCTAGCCAAACCCCTCGGCCGAATCTTCGAGCCCATGCTCGGAGAAACGCGGGCGCGCAGCTTGTTGACGGGGGCGCATACGCGCAGCGTGGCCATTGCGGCGCCTAGTGTGGGCGGACTCATGAAGTTCGCAAAGAAGACGAGTACGTGCATGGGGTGCAAGAAGCCGCTGGTCGGGAAGGAGGAGAGCGGCAACGCGGTGTGCAAGAACTGCGCGCCGCGCATGGGCGAGCTGTACACGAAGACGCTGACGAAGGTGAGCGATCTTGAAGTGCGGTTCGGCAGGCTGTGGACGCAATGCCAGCGGTGCCAAGAGAGCATGCACTGCGAGGTTATTTGCAGTAGTAAGGATTGTCCCATCTTTTACATGCGCATGAAGGCGAAGAAGGATGTGGAGGATGCGGGGAAGGAGTTGGCGCGGTTTGATAAGGATGCTGCGGCCTGGTAAGAGGAATACGTGCATTATTTTTTGGGATTGGGCACTGTATGCATATTGAAGAGATGGAGAGGGAGTTACTAGTGCGGGTGATACAGTGTTATCTAGATAATATATCTCTGGCGCCAATACTCGGTGTTCCACCCACTCGCTTTGCTCGTAGGTGGCGACAGCGATCTGTGCACGCGACAGCGATATGTGCAACACACAAAATGAAAGAAATAAGCCTCATATAGCAACTATGCAACTATATAATTAAATAATAAAATCAATAGAGCTACTATCACTATCTCCACTACTACTGTCGCTACTAATCTCAATGTTACTATCACTATGATCCTTACCATACCGTAAAATTATCACTTTGGATTTTAACCCAACCGTCTTCCGCTCTGCTACCCTCTTCCTCTCAACCCTTCGCTCTTCGATTTCAATTTTCCGTTGTTGCACCTGTAGCTGCTTTACTACTTGCTTTGATTCCTTTGCTACTCTTGCCTCTGCCTTTGCTTGTAATTTTGCTTCCTTCTCCTCACGTAACAGTCGGGCGTCTGATGCATATAACTGCCCCCCCTTCTGTAGCGATTTCCGTGCCCTTGCCTTTGCTGTTTTCTGCTCTGCTAACCGTAAGGTAACAATGTCAAGCTCGGTCTTATAGAGCTCAGCCCGATGTAAAACAACTGTAGTTCCACGTGCAAATGATTGAAACCCTTCTCTTGACGGTGATGAGAAAGCTGCCTCTACTCTCTTCTGCCAATGTTTAACTGCCTGTATAGTTTGCACACTAGTTTTTGGAGTTGAGATAAGGTCGTACGAAGCAAATGGCTCATAGTCTGGTGTTTGATTCCGGGTCTCTTGTATTTTATCAATTACTAGTGGAGGATTATATGGATATAGTCCTGCATTTCTCCAACCTGATTGAATTGTCCGGACAGTTAAGGATTGCCGTCGGATTTGTGAAAGGTCGGAAAAGAACGTACGTAGCTTATACTCATAGTCATAGCTACGTACTGCTTGATCAAGTGCCTTTTGATGGAAGTGTTTGCACTGCTTAAAAACTGCTACATCAAGAGGTTGTAGTAGATGCGTAGTATGAGCAGGAAGGCAGCAAATAACAATGTTATGCTCTTCTTCTAATGTGAGAAAGCGCTCCGTTTTATGAGAGTCATGGCCGTCGAGTAATAGGAGGCGGGTGTCGTCTGGTGCCATATGCTCTGCAGATAGTTGAATAAAATGCATGAGGTATTGAATTGCAATGTCGTCGTTTGAATACCCACTCTCATTAACGATAACAAGAGCATTTGGCTCAAGGTTATCATTATACCATGAGTCCATATGAAGTTTCCCCGGAATGATAATGGCTTCTGCAATTGCTGTACCATGTAATGGTGGGTAACTAAAGAGCGATGACATGTAATGAATCATAGAGGTTCGTAGGAGCTTTTAGAGCTATCGTTCATGCTCCTAGGCCTCTAGTTGGTAGACATATGTCATGTGGTAGTATGAGTGATGTCATGTAATGAATCATAGAGGGTTGTAGAGATATGCTATGTGGTAATATCGGCCCAGTAACTAAGGAGCGATGACGTGTAATGAATCATAGATGGTTGTAGCAATCGTTTAGTAGTATTGCTCTTGTTGTTGGTGTGATAAGCCAAAATATGTATAGTGACTTGTAGGTTTGAGGAGGAGATTTCCAAGTTTGCTCTTGAGTTTAATAGCAAACTGAGTGCAACGAATGTCAGTATGACACTATAGGCGTAGGCGTAGGCTGCGAGTACGTACGCAGCTTCTCAAGGGCTGTATTACAGCTTATGGGCCAGATTCCAGCTTTCCGGAACGCTGATTGTATGGTGGCCTCCTTAAAAGTCTGCTCCCGCATATGTGGGAGATCCCTCATAAATAGGGGTAGGTTGTAGGTAATATCCACCTCTCGTATGGCACGGAGCACGGATTGCCTATGCCAGTGCTTATAAGGCTGGAATATTCCCACGTCTAATGGCTGTAAAACATGTGTAAGGTGGCTGGGAAACGCCCATACGATGATGTGATATTTAGTAGCCATAATGATAACATCAGGGCTCGTATGGCTCACATGAGAATCGAGTAGTAGAACCTTAGGATTTCCCGGGTCGTGTGGAGCTGTAAGCTCTACGAAGTGCTGTAGCCACCGTATAGCAAGCTGGCTATTAGAATAGCCAGTCTCCGAGAGTAGTATCAGCTCATTCCCATCAAGGTTTTGAGGGTACCACGCCTCCATATGAATTTTACCCGGTACAACAAGTACAGGTGCAATCTTCTGTCCAACTGCAGATACTGCCTCTATAATCGTAATAGATATACGATTCTCAGGGCTTGGAGTGTAGAGCTGCTTTACAGCTCGGGGGACCATAACTCTCTCACCTCCTGGAATTCCGATCCTAAAACCAGTTTCGTCCATATTCCAGATTGACTCTGGTTTTATACCACGCTGTAGTACTAATGCTGTGTACTCTTGAAACCATTTAATAACAGTAGGCTCCTGTTGAGCTTTCGTACACTGTTGTGCAATAGGCTTTGTAGTAACAAAGTGAAACTCTATAAGCTCATTCCGTATATATTTAGTGAGCCAGCTCTGTGACGGTGGAGGCAGTGGGCTCTGTAGGTGGCATACTGCCCCGTAAACCATATGCCTATTAGCCCCTAATCCTAGGTGATACTGCTCTAGAATCCAGGCCTTTAGGGCTTCTGTTTGAGCTGTAGAAAGCACCCTATTCTGACCCCCATTTTGGGTAGTTCTGGTGGTTCTAGTGGTTCTTGTGCGGCTGATTTTTGACCGTATAGTCGACCTTGGGATCTTAAAAATCTGACTTGCAACAGCTACAGATTCAGAGGGATTTGCTGCAAGCCATTCACAGGCATCTGATAGAGAAGTCCCTTCCATTAAATGAATTACATTTAATGGCTATATAAATTACTATGGGGGGGAATGCCGAAGGTTTTGGTAAGGAGTAGCGGTGAACGTATGCAAGTTGAGGTGGCGCAAACCGCTTCCCCCCCGATTAGGAATACGGAGTCATATTTTGGTTGTTTTTTTGGCCACTCGCTTAGGGTGGCCAATCGTATGTGAAAACGTTACACGTGCTTGTTTGTATTATGTAAGCAGGAAGAGCTAAATTAATGCTTGTTTGTGTTAAGCGTCACTAAGAATCAGCTAGCGCAAGGCCTAGGTCTTGTAAACGTCAGGGGCCCAGAAGAACTCGTGGCTTAATGCTACCATACATGCCTATGTATGGTGGCATTAAGCCACGATCTATGTCTACCAATAGATCGTCATGCATTCGGAATGTGCCTGATTGCTTGTTTTTTGCACGTTCTTAAAAGAGCCGATTGATTATCCGATGAGGTAGTTTTTAAGAAGTAAATATCTCGGAACTTCAATTTCTAATTTCTAACCTCTAACCTCTAGCATCAGGCCTCTAATGACTATCAAATCAGTTGGGATCGCTCTGCCTGTCCCTGTCCGTGGTAACATCCTTGCAATATCACTTGGTTCATTGGCCAATGATTAGGTTAGGATATTAGAAGCTTGGTGGGAGGGAGGGGAGGATCGCATTTCGAGAGATACCATACCAAGTATTGCCAAGCCACCGTTGCCCAGACTTCGAAGACACAGGAGAAGAAGAATACAAATAGAAGCATGGCCAAGGCCGCGAAGATGTCCATAGCAGTCCTCCATCCCAGCTCAAGCTTCAGTGACTCCTCCTTCTTTGACATCCAGCACCATGCGTTTCTCTACCGGAATCTACACCGCGGCTCTGCTTGCATCGGCTGCCGCTGCGCCAACCTCATCCTCAACCTTGGTCGTGAACCCTACGGCCACTGACCCGGCCGCCGTCTATGCTGCTCAAGCTACAGCCAAGACCGAGAGTCCAACGAGCCATGTCAAGGGCAAAGTCTTCGACCGCTTCGTAACAATCTGGTTCGAGAATACAGACTTTCAATCCGCTGCCGCCGAAGGTAAGCTTCAGCCATATTCCATATAATTCTTGCTTCTTGGTGATAATCCAAGCTAATCTATCAAATTGAAGCAAACTTCGACTTCTTCGCAAAGAAGGGCATCACTCTGGAGAACTACTTCGCTGTTACGCATCCCAGTGAGCCCAACTACATGGCCGCTGTTGGCGGTGACTACTTCGGATTGAACGGCGACCCATTCATCGCCGTGCCAGAGAATGTTTCCACCGTCGTGAATCTTCTCGAGGACAAGAAGATCAGCTGGGGTGTTTATCAGGAAGATATGCCATACAGTGGATACCAAGGCTTCTCATGGGTCAATAAAAAAACTGGCAAGAAAGACTATGTTCGCAAACACAAGTAAGTCCTCGACCACATGCATATCGAGCAAAAGGTTTACATTCCAAAAGCCCAGCAGTCTTGTTTAACTCCGTTGCCAACGACGCAGACCGTCTCTCCAAGATCAAGAATCTTACCATGTTCCAGCAGGACTTGAAAGCTAACAAGTTGCCACAATGGATGTTCATCACACCAAACATGACCAGCGATGCACATGACGCCCCCATCGGCACAGCTGGTACCTGGCTCCGAACTTTCCTCGAGCCTCTTCTCAACGACAAGAACTTCATGCAGAACACCATGGTTCTGATCACCTTCGACGAAGACAGCACGCACCCCAAGCAGAACCGGGCCTTCTCTGTCCTTCTCGGCGACGCCATCCCCAAGAACCTTGTCGGCACCACCGACTCCAACTTCTACAACCATTACTCTGAGATTGCTACCATTGAGGCGAACTGGGATACCCACACTCTCGGCCGCTATGACGTAGGCGCCAATCTTCAGCAATGTCGCCAAGCACACGAATGACAAGCTGCGTAGCTGGACAGGCACGCCAGCACTCGCAGACACCACCTTCAACGCCAGCTATCCTGGTATCTTCCACTCAACGACGTGGGCGCCTCAGCCAGTGCCCAACACCTTGATCAAAGTGAACGGAAGAAGCGTTCTGCCAAAAATCAGGAAGCAGTGGGTTTCCCAGCAGAAGAAGACGACGTATTGTGGACAACTGGAAATCCCGACCTCTGCGAACCCACCCAAGGGAACATGTCCCGGCCCTCGGGCAACGGCGATCACTCCGAGAAGCATCACGGCTAAGCCGATAACTGAGTTGGATCCTTCCTTAACCCTCTTGCAAATACTCGCTGTGCAAGTTTTGTCCTTCGTTTAATTAGAATTGACTCGTCTGGCAATGAAGGTTTTAGCCCACTTAGACCTAGATTACTAGAGGAGACGCACGTTTTGCATTACTTGTTATGTGTGGGTTGAGTGTAGGTATTATTATCAAATCTTGTGGCATCTAAATCTAAATCATCTCGAATGCCAGTGTTTAATGCTTTGCGGTAGCTCTCCTATGTTTCGCCCACAAAAACCGGGAAAATAAATCGACCTTGCCTATAGTGCCGCCTTCCTTGAAATCCGCTCCCATTATTGCCTTGTACTGATCTGGCCGAAACTCGCTGACTAGCAAGAATCCGCTGAGAATGTAATTGGTGCATATGCCACTTCCACTTGCGCATTAGAGGTTTTGAGCCGTAATTGCATGGCATGATTGCAAGTACAGTCAACTCCCGTTAAGTCGATACAATTGGTGACACGTGTAAATATCGTAAAAGTGAAAATATCGTTATATTGAAATGCCAAGTATTATGTAATCCACCTATCCAATGTCTCCTGAACCAAGGAATTAAGCTGAATTGCCTCAATTTCGCCCTCCAAACGCTCTAATGCCCTGAGGTGATTGGCTTGGAGAGCATCCTGACACTCCGTATACTCAATCAGAACTTTAAGGGCATTGCCCACTTTCCCACCACCGTCGTACCACCCTTACCAAAATAGGTTGTGCGCCAGTAAGGTACTGTTACTCGAGCTGATTATAATTACTTATAGTAACTAGAAATATAATAAAGGCTCTAAACAACCTGGAAATTATTAGAGCTTTTTAATATACTAATCACTTCAAAATTAAGCCATAGGGAGAATTTCGATTAGGTATAAGAACTGTGAATAGTCCCTCTTCAGAGTTTCGGCTGGTAGGAACGCACTGTAATTCGCTCTTTCCTAAAAAAATAGGAGCTATAAATCGCTCCTTCCTAAAACTAAGATTTACAACAGGCAGTGTAAGCCGCTCCTTCTCAACTTAGTGCTAAAGTGGCATTTTCGCACTGCAGCACAATGCCTCTGTTTTCTTTCTGTGTCTGTTATGCATTTCAACTCCGAGGTTCGCAATTCATTTCTACTTTAACAAGTCACTGTCGGCAAAAAATAATAAAATAATAAACGACGTGTGCAGGATTTGAACCTACGCGGCCGAAACCATATGATTTCTAGTCATACCCATTAACCACTCTGGCAACACGCCTTGTTATTGGGCAAGTACGACTCACTATACTTAATATACTGGACATCTTTTTCTGACTTGGCAACTACGACCCCTCTATTGATGTATCGCACTTTTCCACAACGTATTTTTTGAGATTTCAGGGTCTGAAATTGTATTTTTGGCCAGTTTCCCCTTTTCAAGAGGCTGTACGATACATATGCACTATTTTTCTGCGAACAACAGCGTCAAATCGTGCCTTCCGTATTTATTTAATATTGCTCTGTGTGTGCTACTCATCAATTCATAATCTACTCACTAAAACATACACCTCAAAGCCAGCATTGAAGTCATTTCATTACTTTTCCTTATCACAACTCCCGTAACGCCGAGTCTGTAGGTCTCTATAGCTACAGCAATCCCACCCCATGCCAGCCCAACCATTCACACCTCAACGCATCCCCCCCTCTACTCCTCCATCTCCTCCGGCGCCTCCCCATCCACCTCCTCCACCGTCCCACTCTCCGCACTCCAATACGCCACAACACGCACCCTAAACTCCGCCGTCGCAACCCCAAACAGCTTCAACAACCTCGTCTGCCTACTATCCAGCACCTGCCCTTCGCGACACACCTCATACTCATTCTGCAGCGTGATATTCCCCTTACTCAAACTCGTCGGCACGTTCAACCGCCTCAGCTCCGGCTCCAGTCCATGCGCCATCGGCACATCATCCTCAGCCGCCACCTCCCCGCCGAGCGAGTACACGATGCCCTCTGGGATGGCGAAGCGGCGGGTCGCGGGGGTGCCCGCGCGCGCGAAATCAGTAGGCGTGTTGGCGGCGAAGTGCGCGCTGACGTCCTCGGGGCTGCGGTCGGTGAAGAGGAGCCCGACGTTGCCGGCGAGGTAGGGCGCGAGGAGGTGCGTGTTGGTCTGGTAGGCGGTTTCGGGGGTGGAGCCCAGGGCTTTGGCCATGACCTTCGTCTTGCCGAAGAAGAGGCTGTGAGAGGGTGTTAGTGGTGTTGGAGTGGGCGAGGGGAATTGGGAGGACTAACCGAGAATCGCTAAGGTCGGCGCGCACTTTCTTCAGGTAGGTGTTGCGCATGTTGTCGACGCTGAAGACGAAGATATACTGGTACTTGTCGATGCTCTCCTGCACGTTGGCGAAGAGCTTGAGCGTGAGCTCCTTGCCCTTCTTGTCGACCTGGGTCAGGTGGACCACCTTGGCGCGCTTGGATTTAGGCATTCTGGCGGTGGTTGAGATGGGTGTGTTTGGTGGTGGGGTTTTGGGAGGTGGTTTTTTCGTAAATATGATTGTGAGATTTCTATCGATTTCACTATCGAGACTTTTCTGCCGCGGCGGTGTGGTGCGCTAGCCGTGTTGGGCTTGGTGCGGGTTGTGGGTGTTGGGTTTCTGGGGGAGCGAGACGAGGAATCCAGAGTCAATTGTCTCTTGGCGACGCGTTGCTGGCGAGAAGCTGTATGTGCGGATTGATTGATTGCGGAGATGTTGGAGTTTATGGATTTCGTGCAGCAGTCCTTCTACAATTCGTCGCGTTGGAGCTACGAGAATAACTACACGAACCTGACGGCCACGTCGAGAGGTGAGCTCCATGACATGACCTATGCGCCCAGCGGATCATACTGACCCTCTCCAGCTCTCCTGGACTTCGATACCCCCCGCGGCTTCCACGTCGACATCTCCTCCCTCTCATCACCAAACTTCGCGACCTCCTACGCCCTCAGAAGCGTCGGCCTCGTCAACGGCTCGCTCTCCTATCTCTACACCTCCCTCCCCCTCACCTCCGCCTTCCAACAAGCCGGCCGACTCAACCTCCACGATGTAATCCGCGGCTACCGACAAATCCAGGAACTCCCCTCGCCCTCCTCGATACGGCCACCGCCCTCCTCAGACCCATCATCCACAGATACCGTCAAACCACCCACCCTCCTCTACGGCCGCCTCTACCTCCCCCAAAGCACCCTTGAAGCGCTCTACGTGCGCCGCCTCTCCCCGACATGCCAGATCAAAATCAGCGCCGTCTCCTCCTCGCGTTTACGAAACGGCGGCACCCTCCTCGCCCTCCACCAACACGACGTCGGCAAATACTCCACCGAAGCCCTCTATTCCACCGACGGCGGCCTGCTCGGGTTCAAGGGGCTGTACAATTTCGGTGCTGATCCCCGCGTCCGTGCTACCCCCTCCACCTCCTCCACCTCCCCCAACGGCGCAGTAGCACCCTCAGCAACACCCCCAACCGAAGACCGCATCCACGGCCGCTTCTCCGCCGGCGCAGAAGCCTACTACGGCACGCTCAACAAATCCGGCGGCGTCAGTCTCGGCGGGCGCTTCGCCACTCTCCCCACCTACCACGGCATACCCCTCACCGCGACTCTCACTTTGAATCCTTTGATGGGCAATTTCAGCGCTACCTACGCTGTTAAAGCCGGCGAGGACGTCGCGCTGTGTAGTAGATTCGAGTTCAACGCCTACAGCTACGAAAGCGAACTCGTCCTCGGATGCGAGCTTTGGCGACGGAGCGTGAAGTTGCCTGTTAGGCTTAGCGGGAGGAGCATGGCAGCTAAACTCGCATGGCGCAGTGAGGAAGAGATGTTCCCCCCTGTCCCTGCCCCCGTCCCTGCCCCTGCACCGACGGATGGACTGCCAATGGGGGTACGACTAAATGGGAAGGACGAAAGAGGGGAGGTGACGGGGGTGTTTAAGGGGCGTGTGGATGAGAAGTTGCGTGTTGGGGTGGTGTGGGAGGGGAGGGTGAAGGATTTGCTTGTTTGTGTTGGGTCGACGCTTGATTTGAGGAGGAGGGATCAGCCGTTTAGGAGCTTGGGGGTGGAGTTGCAGTATTCGTCCTGAGTGGAGCGAGTAGGTGCGTGGGAGGGAGCGAGTGAGAGGCTTGGGAGTAGAGGATAGGGGGACGGTATATCCGCTCTAGCACGGGCGCTATTGGAGTGAGAGCAGGGGTGTACTTGCACGACGCGATCCTCTCATCAGCTCGTCCGACCCCACACCAGCCCCACGGGTTTCTAGATGCAGCATGCCGGGTTCCGCCCCGCTCGTCGGTGTGTTCGCCGTGGTATCCGAGTTAGGAAGGGTGAGTAGTGTGGAAAGTGGGAAGACATCCTTTTGTGGACTACGAAGGGTCTTTTCGCACTATGAGCTGCGATGCTTGCGTGTTTTCGCACTACAGCTACGGCTGTTACGTCTTGTCGCACTACGAGCACTACGAGCACAACGAAGCGTTGCTGGCGATGGGGGACGGGATGTGTGAAGGGGTGTGAACTGGGCTGGGATGGGTCTGGGATTCGGTGCACCTTGGGAGGTGTACTACTGCACTTCCAACCCTAACCATCCTAACACCCCTAACACCCCTAACACCCTTAACCCTAACACTCCAAACACCTCGGTACCGCGACTCGGCAGTAACGTTCGCAATGGCGTAATGAGCACTATAGCGTAATGAGCACTAAAACTCCCACCTTGCAACTTCAAACTCGTAAACCACAATAGCGAGACGCAAGAGCCTTCGGGTTCAAGAGAATGAAGCTCGTATGGCTGAAACTATAATAGCTTACTAGAATCGATAATTTACAAGCTTAAAGGCTATTGCAGATCACTTTTAAGTTAATCGGATGACTTTGACGCGTCGCGTGTCAGGGGGCCATTCCTAAGTGCAAGCGCGACAAAACCAGCAACTTTTATGTACAGTTAAAGAGAGTATCTTGGTTAAGTGGATTTGCCAATTCTCTTCGATAGGACGCCCTATTATTGATCAACTTACACAAGTTGGAGTAAGGCGCATTCAAAATGGATTGAGATGTACTACAAAGCAGAGGCTACGAGCAATATCGCAACACAACATTTAAAGCGCATTTGACCCTCAAAAGGCATATAATCATTTACTATCATTACACACTCGATCTTCTATTACTTTAACAAATGCAACTACACCACCTCTACAACAAATGCTACAAACACCAAACTATCGCTCTTTACTTGTTAGCTCCCCACTAAGTGATATAGAGTTGCGTAGCTTAAATGCAGCTCTTAATTTGATGTTATAGTCCGAAAATGTGCTAGACTCTCTAACACGCAAATATATCTTACGGCTTAGACGCACTGCTAAAACTCTAAAAGAACACGAAACACACATCCAGACGTAGAACTAAAAAGCGGGGCAAGAGAGTAGCGTTAAAAAGTTATTGTAATGAGTACGTAAGAAATCTAGTCGGCAGTTTTATAGATTGAAAATAAGACCCGTACTAATAAGAGCAAAAGGTCGGGCACAGAGGGACCCTACGCTCTTATGACTTAACCACACAGCACGAAATGACGGAAGCAAAACATCACACACGTAGCGGCCGCCGTGGCGCCGTGAGAAAGCGGGTTGGGGATGTGCGAAGAGTGGGTTGTATTGCGTAACCCGGGCGGATACCGCTAAGGCGTTTAGATGCCCCGCGCGGTATCATTGGGGGGTTTTATGGGGAAGAGAGGGAGTTGTTGCGCTGACGAAGCTGCCGAGGACCCACCAGGGTATCCCGCAAGGTGACGGTCAGTCTCGCACTAAGCACACGCCACACGCACATCAGTATCATCTCCCTAGCAAATTCACCTTATCCCATCTCCCCATCCCATCTCCAATCCCTCCTCATCTCCAATCCCTCATCTCCCATCTCCAATCCCTCCCACGTCGAGAGCACATCCCCTGCTTCACGCATCCACGCATCCACCCATCAATGCCGAGACAACATCCCCTGCTTCACGCATCCACGAATCCACTCATCCACGCCGACACAACATCCCCTGCTTCACGCATCCACGCATCCACGCATCCACCCATCCACGCCGAGACAACATCCCCTTCACCCATTCACCCATCCACCCATCCACCCACCACCCACCCACAACGTGCCCAGTGCACAGCGGAGACCCAGTGCACCCACCACTACCAGTGCCACCCGGCAGTCTGTCGCCCGTGTATAAGACTTAAGCTTGCCCAGCCCGCTGCACTCCGTTCTTGGTTCTGCTCATCAGTCTTATCATCGTCTTGCAAGCTTGATCCAGCTTGATTCGGGGAGAAAAGACAGGAGAAGAGATCTACATACAGATCTGTCGCTACGATTCGACAACTCACTTCCATCACGCAATACCTGCTTCATCACCCCAGTCCACTACACATCATGTCTGACGCCGCACCCGTCCCGCAATGCTCTAGCGGAAACGACTATGACGGACGCATGGGCCTGCGCATCTCCTCCATCTTCGTCATCCTTTTTGGATCCATGATGGGTATGTTCCCTTCTTCACTCACTCACGTGCCCTCGTCACACCACAACAAACATCCAACTAACACCACCCCTAGGTGCGCTCTTCCCCGTCCTCGCCGCCCGCTCAAAGTGCTTGAAAATCCCTAAATCCGCATTCTTCGTCGCCAAATACTTCGGCTCGGGTGTCATCATCGCTACAGCCTTCATTCACGTCAGTCTTCCCTTCTCCCCTCACCCACCTAGCTCCCTCCTACTAACACCCCCAGCTCCTCGCCCCCGCCCACGACGCCCTAACCAACGAATGCCTTACCGGCCCCATTACCAAGTACAGTTGGGTCGAAGGCATCGTCCTCATGACTATCTTCGTCATGTTCTTCGTCGAGCTAATGACCATGCGCTTCGACTTCTTTGGCAGCAACAAGCCCGGCGCAAAGTCCCGCGCCCAGGACCCCGAGGGTGCGCGCCCTCCTGCCATTCCCATCACCGCCGTGCCTACCAACCACAGTAGTGATCTGAAACCCCCCACCCCCGACCCCGCCGCCGCTGTCATGCCCGCTCTCAACTCCTCGTCGTCTTCTCAAACGCAGAAACACGACGCGGACCCCAACGCCGCCTCCCAACCCTTCCCAACCCGCTCTCAGGAATTCTCATACCCCACCGGCGGCACCGACAACCTCTCGCATGGGCAGCACCACTCATCCGAGGAGCACATCGCCGCGCAGCTAACGTCCATCTTCATCCTTGAGTTCGGTGTCGTATTTCACTCCATCTTCATCGGTCTCACGCTCGCCGTGGCAGGACAGGAGTTCGTGGTGTTGTATATCGTGCTCGTGTTCCATCAAACCTTCGAAGGTCTTGGTCTCGGTTCCCGTCTAGCAACGACGCCGTGGTCGGCGGACAAAGAATGGCTTCCCTGGCTCTTAGGTGCCTTATACGGTATCTCCACACCCCTTTCCATCGCGGTGGGGTTGGGCGTGAGAAAGAGTCTGAGCACAAATGGCCGCGCGATGCTCCTTGTCAACGGGATTTTCGACTCCATCTCCGCGGGTATCCTCATCTACACGGGCCTGGTGGAGTTGATGGCGAATGAATTCATGTTTAACCAGGAGATGCGGGGTAGTAGCCTCAAAGTCGTCCTAGCGGCGTTTGGATGCATGGTCATTGGTGCCGGGCTGATGGCTGTGTTGGGGAAGTGGGCGTAGACGGACGACTGCTTTTCTTGTTTGCCTGTCCCCGATCTGACTTCTCTGTGCATGTTCTGCGTCATTCTTGTCGAGCCTTTATACTGAGCCGACAGATTCTGTGTGTTTTAATGGGTTTAGCGTTTGACGAGGAAACTTTTGGAATGGATGGATGGAAAGATGGCGAGGATAGTGGTGGTGTGTGCGGTTGTATATAGAACGTAGAAGTACCCCTCCCGCGCTGGATGCCAGGAAAATAAAGAATGACCCTTCTTTTACCTACGTGTTTTCAAATGCAACCTCCAATTCCCCATCCACCTTACCAACTTTCCATCCCCTCCTATTTCCATCTCTTTGTTATATCACGCCTGGCCCAGACAAAACATCCCTAACAACACCCAACTCGACAACCAAACCCCCCAACAACCTCCCCATCTCCCCTGCTACAACATCCACCCCCGCCACATCACTCAAAGCCTCCACCGACGGCGGCGCCGGCAGCGCCCTTGTCGCCCCCAGTGAGAATACCTGTTTCTGTGCGGGGGGGTCGACGATGGAATCGCGGAGGTTGGGAGTTGGAGGGGGGTAGTGGGAGGTGGTGGGGAGGGGAGGCCCATGTCGAGGTCGATGAGGGAGTCTGCTATGGAAACACGACTTGGGGTGTGATATTTCTGCAACGGCGGGAGGGAGGGGAGGGGGAGAGACTCATATCCAAATCGATCAACGACTCTGCTGTCGATGCGCGGCTTTGGGGATACTGGGATGATACTTGCGGGGAGGTTGATAAACTCATATCCAAATCAATCAACCCCTCCGCAATCGACTCCCTCTGCCCCTCTCCAACTCCTCCAGAACTCATCGCCTTCTTCCCCACCTCCTCAGGACCAACCGTCAAAGGGATGGACGAAGCAAACGTCCAATCCTTTGTCTGGCGGTTTGTATCCCCCTCCGTCCCCGATACATCAAGAGGTGCAGGGAGGGAGGAAGCAAACGTCCAATCCTTTGTTTGGCGCTTCCCATCATCTCCCCCACCGCCTGCCTCTCGCGTAGGTGGTTTCGATGTTTCATCCCCCGCCCCGTCCCGCCCACGAAGAGGTAAATCACTCGTCACCCCAATCATCGAGGGTAAATAATGCACACGGCTGTTTACGTCGTAGGTGGAGAGGGTGTTGGGATCAAAGAGTTTCTCAATCGGTGCACGGAGGGGTGCTAGTGCTGAGGGGGGTGGACGACGACGCGACTTTTTGGCGCGGGGAGTTGACTGGGGATTCTCAAGGGGGGAACTCGCATCTTGGATAGCCGGTCCTTTGAGGGTTTAAATCCCACTCCTCATCCCGTGATGAGGTCTATGAGTGTGCTGGTTGAATGACTGGGGGTTGTGGAGTGGATTAGGGGTGTACCTGAACCTGCTCGATCATCGGCATTTTACCCGGGTCCTCTTCCAGGCAGTATCTCGGACGGGCGTCCCAACCCCAACGCCTAGCTGTCCATAAGGCATCCGACTCGAAGTATTCGGAGGAAGCCCACTAGCAACCTCAAACACCACCCCTTATAAGCCCGCCCATAACTCCCCTTCCCAATAAGCTCCACCAACACATACGGGGCGTCGCCTCACCCGCCCTCACAGCGCGCTCATTGACGCCCCTTTGCGCCTTCTCCGCGTGCTCCACTGCCCTGGTTCGCATGTGGGGACGATTCATCAGCCACACCCGCGTGACGGCCTACTCTAAACTTGGCGAAAGGGGGCGCTCCACCCCGCTGCTGTTATCACAAGCTAAAATTTACCTGTTGATTTGAGGCGTTTTAGGCATTGTGGTTTGGAGATGGGTGCCGAGAAGGCTCGTGAAGGAGGAAGTATAGATTGGGTTGTTTGGGGTCTGTGCGCGGTGTTGGGAGGCGTCGGTGTCGCCGGCGCTTTAAGGTCATTAGAGGGTTTCATCCCGGAGAATATAACATGTTTACAAACTGTTGGCAGTAAGATCTGCACCACCCCCGTAGCCCCCCTGTAATACCCATGCTAGCTGGCACCACCTTGCTGGCGCCAGAGTCTCTCCGGACTCATCTCAATACTGAGACGAGGATTTTGGTGCTACGTCTCTGTATCAGAGACGCAGCAGGTTGGCCGCGGATCTTCCGCAATCTCTTATGTCGACTACAGTTACCAAGCCTGGTTAGTCATGGAAAGTCTTGGAAAATGAGAGAACTACACTCCTTTAGCATAAATAGGATTGCCCTTTCCCTAAGAAAGGGCAAGCAGACAATACAGTAAATCGACTATCACATACTTCCATGTCTTTTCCAAGCTTCCAAGCATTGATCTTGTTACTCCTTGTTTCTGAAAAGTCAGTAAGGTGCTAACCTCTGACTTATCCCTGAGTTCTCAGACTCAACATTTGTTACAACTTGTCTAAACCACTCCACTACATCATACACTTGATTGCTGCATTGTGGAATAGTCTAAGCTACAACCCTTTGGCTCTGTTTCATAAGACAGTGTGTTGTCTTAGTAAAACCATCCCTTCCTTGGGTGGCTAGATTCTCACATCTGGTGCACCCACCATTACAAAACAGATGGACAGACTGAGCGATCCAATTCAGAGCTTGAACACTACTTGCGAGCTCATGTGAACTATCTTCAAGACAATTGGGTTTTATACTTGTGCATGGCGTAGTTTGCTGCCAACAGTTTGCCATCAGATGCAACCAAGACAAGTGCGTTTTTTGCGAACAAGGGCTATGAACCAAGAATGAGCTTCAATACAGAGCATCAAGCATATCACAAAGCCAAACAAGAGCACAAAAACATAGCTCAGACCATGGCATAGGTTTGGGAGTTTCTGCAGGATGAAATCATGCTCTCACAAGCAAAAATGGAACATTTCGCAAACAAGAAAAGGAAACCTGCACCACGCTATCAAGTGGGAGACAGAGTATGGCTTTCAACTCGAAATATAAAGACACAGAGGCCATCAAAAAAGCTAGACCACAAGCAAGTGGGACCTTTTGAAATTCTAGAGCAGATTGGGCAAGTTGCATATCGGCTCAAACTTCCAAACAGCATAAAGATTCATCCAGTCTTTCATGCCAATCTATTAAGACTCAACTCAAATGATGCAATCGAAGGGCAGCAACAGGAGCCAGAGCCTCCAGTCATTGTCAATGGCGAAGAGGAGTGGGAAGTGGATGAAATCCTCGACTCAAAAGTTGTACGAAAAAAGCTTTTCTACAAGGCAGCTTGAAAGAACTATCCACCGGACAAGACATGGTACACTGCAGAGAGCTTCGAAAATTCTCCAGAAGTTACCCAAGCATATCACAGAAAATACCCTCAGAAACCAAAATGAGAGCTGGAGACAATTGTTTTGAAAATGGGATTTCTTGATCAGGAGATCAACTCTGGAGTAGGGGGCGGGGTAGTGTTACGATATCAAGTGCGCCTTGCAGCTCGAGTGGGGGTTCAGGGGTGTGGGGAGCTTTCTGGGGTTGAAGCGAAGTATCCGTATTCATGGGTTTTGAAGGCCCTTATATTCAATCCGTGATAATATTCATAGAAGATTAAAACTATTCATATTCATATTCGTCGTATTCATGAATATTCGTGAATATATTCATGAATGCTTGGCAATGCGTTAGCGGTATGCACGTGCCATAATTGAGGCCGTAAAATCATGTAAAGGAGGGGTAAGTTATATTTGTTTTGTGTTATAATCATGACAAAATTCCCATAACTTCTCTTTTTTATTCTTCGCTCTATTTAGGATATATTCATATTATCTAAATATGAATCCGTCTAATTCTCCCCTAGCATGGCACACAAGTCATCGAGAAATTGATTTTCATATATTAAATGATGGAAGTGACGAAGAATATGACTCTGATGTCGTATCACGAGTTAAACGACCACGAAACGCCCAAAAACAAGCCCAAATCTCTCAAGATTTATCACTTTTAAGAGAAGAAGATGATAATATCTCACCACATGATTCAGCTTCGCAAGTTCAAGCCTCACACCCTCTACATACAGAAGAGAAAAATACCATTACTACAAATACTCCCTACTCAAGTGCTCTTGAGTATACCCCCTTAATTCAACGAGTGAATAAGGAGCCAATAGGGCAAAGTAGCTGGGTGTACGCTCATTTTATATGGTAGAACTTGCAGAGCCATGGCTACATAAGTCAAGTAAGAAGATGATACCAATTGAGCGTGTTTGGACCTGCAAGACCCTTCATTGCTCTGGGGTTTACAGCGACTCAAAGCGACAAGGAACAACATCTAATATGATTACACACCTTAAATCGCATCATATCTACAAGGACGGACAAGGCCTTACAGCATCATCAAGTGAGCAAGCAAGTATCACATCATTCCTATCATCAGCAATGACGATGCCCCCTCCAACATCTACGCAATGGAATAGCCAAGAACAATTTGAATACAATCTTGCACATTGGATTGTACAGACTCAACAACCTTTTACTGCCATTGAAGCACCGTCTTTCCGTCAAATTTTCCGCAGCATCCCTAATTTTGCGCTCAAGTTCAAGTCTGCAAAAACAATGTATTTCCAGTCCACCGTGGAGCTGGTTGGCTTGAGCTCGAGAACGGCCATTCCACCAAAGCTCGGGCCACTCCACCGTCGGGGAACCCTATAGGTTTTGCCACATTTCATTTTTCTTATCTTATCTTATCTTATCACTTATATAAACTATACCTAATTGGTAATAACTAAGCCTAATAAGGTATAAATTATAGTCATGATTATAAATTATGATTATGATTATACGCTTTATCAATAACGTATTTCCCAATCGAACCATGCACCTGGTCGAACCGTGCAAAATAACCACCAAAATACAACTTCGTAGGTATATTATAACAACAACCCTTTAAAACACTCTAGCTATCTACATCTTTGCACGTACGCACATTATGTCCAACTTGATTACATGTGCCACATCGTCGTGGTTTTCCCTTTCCTGCGCTGACCCTGTGTGGCATCACCACCCTCCTCCTCCTGAGTTTTAGTACTCCGTACAAGCTCATCACCTTCCTCAATTGTCAAGCTTCCACCTAATTGGATACGCTTCCTTCGCTTGTTTGCCCTTCGCTTTTTGAGCGCATTCGCCTGCTGTAGCGCCTTGACTTCAGCTTTAAGGAGTGTAAATGAATGGGCCATTATTTGAGCTCCTTTAGCAAGCTGGTCAAATGCCTCATTTATTGAACTTGGAGAGCTATTCTGATGTTGTACGATTCTATTCTTAAGGTGTGTTGTTTGGAATTCAACTTCAGTCGCATTCTGGGGTGTCTTTGAGGTCCAAGTCTCCTTTTCAACAGGTGGTGGGGTTGGTGTTTTTAGTCGGAGATCAAGGTGCGAAAGGACAGTATTTGGATCGTACGGAACTAACCCTATAACTAAGTTAGTAGTATTTACTATAAAGATTATTATAATTACCTGTTGCTCGAAAGCCACTCTTAATATTCTGCTCTGTAAATGCAGCTTTATACGCTTCTTTAAAGGCAGAGAGGAACTCAAGCTTTGTGATATGGTGAATATGGAGTCGTACGAGACCCTCGACCTGCTTTCCGTACGAGGACTTTAGTGGGCTAAAACACCCAACATCAAGAGGCTGGAGGAGGTGTGATGAATGTGGTGGCATACAGAGGGTAATAATTAGGTGCTCTTGACAATACTGTTGGAATTCGACTGAAATATGTGACTCGTGGCCATCAAGAATTAGGAGATGATATACTCCTTTAGTACGACTCTGAGTATGTTTCTCAAAATGCTGAATCCACTCAAAACCAATTGTATTTGTAGTCCACCCGTTTTCACTTAATGTAATCACCCAATCGCGTGGGAGTTGTACCTCGTCATCGTTATACCATGACGAGAGGTGGGTTGCTCCTTTGAAAATAATGAATGGAGGAATTGACCACCCGTACGAGTTGATTCCTTGTATAATTGACACCCATTCTCGATTTCCTGGCTATGTAGCTTTCGGACGATTCCTTGACTCTGAGCTAGTGACTACTTTAGCAGTAGCAATCATTCCCATTAAGAACCCAGCTTCATCAAAGTTGTATATATCCTCCTCTTGAATTCCGTACTTTGCGACC